AGGAATTCCCCCCCCCCCCCCCCCCCCCTGTTCCGCTCCCACCGACCAGTTCTTCCACTCACACGAATCTGTGTTGAATTAGAACATTTGGCTCGTGCACCGGCCAGTGTCTCAACGACAAGTGCGCCTACCCACTCGTCCGCCCACCGCCAATTCTTGCCTTCCACGCTCAGCCTGCCTCCCACAAGCTAACGCGGTGGTGTTGTGGGACATGATAGGGATTATTGCCGATATCTCGCAAAGCGTAATGCCAAGCGTCTGCCGGCCAACTATGACCAGTTCTTCGACCCCAATGATCCCAATGCACTTCGCCAGCTGGCCCCTGACACCCCAGCCCGTGTGTTACCGAGCCTACTCTCCTTGTGCATTGCTTTTATGGTCGAGTTTAGAGAGGCATTACTCGGCTCCCTTGTTCGGCTCTGCTTGTGCTGTCTCGCTGATCTGCTCTGCCCTCATTTACCCATCTTTTATCACACCAATACATGCCTGGCTTGTTCGTGCAGGTTCAAGCGTGAATGAGGCCAGTTTTTGCGATAGCGAGCGCGGCTCTGCAAAGCGCCCCAAGCCCATGGTGGTTAGCTCACCAACCATCCAGACCAAGACCCCTTCTCCACGAACAACACCCAAGACGAACCCTGGCAAATCACCCAGCAAGTCGGCACACACGTCACCAGATCCCCAGGATGAATCGACCAAAGGCAACGTCATTGGCGAAGACGTGGCTGGTGGTACGTGAGAAAAGCACACAAAGCGCAATGCATCTCTCCTCTCCCGCGGCATTCTCGCACAACATCACGCCGGCATGGCTCGCCCCTCGATTTCTCGATTTATCAATCACGCAGATGAGGACTGGGACGACGTCCTCAGCAACATGGACATCTAAATGAAGCGCTTGAGCGCACGAGTCTGCCAAGCAGCAGGGCGCTCGCCTTTTGTGTACATTACATTAGACCCATCATAACATCCGGCTACGGCTGACGCTTGATTCAACTTCCCGACTGTGATCTGTGTGTGTTTGAAGTGTGCGTTTTGTCGTCTCTATTGCCGGGCGCATATTTAACAAAGACCAAAAACAGCCTCCTGTACATGTGTATAAAAACAGCACCTTTCTGCTTTCATGACATGGTATAAGGTTAATCCCGGGGACGCTCCAGCAGGTCGAGGATCCAAGCTATGTGTACATGTAGATGCGCTGCCGACCTGGGTCAGTCACTGCCAGCGCACCCCCACTGCTGGCCAAGCCAAGGCCAAAACGTGGGGCTGCTCCCTCCATGGCAGGGGGTAGCAGTTGGCGCTCCAGGGTCAGCGCCATCTGCCCCACATCCAGGCTGTACACGAAGACGGCAGCCTCAACATCGCTACCATTGCCGCCGTCGTCATTCTCGGTCCCGGCACCAACGGCGAGCCCGCCCGACCAAACGGCCAGCGACACTCCAAACATGCTACCCGTCAGCGAGGCGTTGGCCCAACGAGGCTCGGTAAATTCCAAGAGGCGTTGAAAGGTTGTGCTCGTACCAGAGGGCACTTGATAAGCGTAGAGCGCACCCGTCCTGTTATCGAGTGAGTTGCTCAACCCTGTGACCAGGAGGTGCGTGGCGTCATACCAGGCCAAGGCCCAGCCGAAAAGATTTCCTGGCCGGGCGACGACATCATCAAGAGTACGCCAGGGCGTAAAGGTACTGGCACCGTGTCGGTGGAAGAAGAACACACGACCACCGGTATTGGGATTGCCGTCCACTTCTTGCGCGTAGGGCGCACTCACTGCGAGATATTCGGCGTTGAGTGCCAGTGCAGAGCCAAACATCTGATGGTTTGTGGTATAGAATGGCAAAACTGTGCCATTGGCGAGAAAATGACCGGCAGGTTGGCGACTGAGGATACGAACCATGCCCATCAAGGCGGGCGTGGGCAGGTTTATATTGGGACCTGGGCAGCCAACCAACAAGACCTGCGGGTCCATGGCGACCGCTGTGCCACACAGATCGCTGGCTTCGCCCGACCGAAAGACATTGAGGATTTGCGCTGCACGTTCTTCGGCGGTGCGATTGTAGAGAGCGTATGCGCTGGCATTTGGGCTTGTGGCCCCAACTACCATCAGGGCCTCATCAAAGGCCAACGCTCGACCAAAGCCGGCCAGATTCGTGTTGGACAGCGTCGATGTGAGCTGCAAACACCGGCCTGTGCAGAGCGCCAGGGCATCCAGACGCTCCTGCAAAGCGTGTTGTTGATCCAATGCGCTGGTGACATCAGCCAGAGCCTGGCGCAACGCAACCGTATCACGCTGTAGCGCATCATTCTGAGCCGTGACCGCGCGGAGCGTGGCCAGCAGGTCAACTTCATCCACAAACAGAGAGGCATTGTTCATCACATGCACGTCGCCATCCGCATCCACCCATAGCCCAGCGTCCTCAGCACCCGCTGCAGGCATGACCATGAGCAACATGGCCCCCATCGCCAGCAAACCAGCCCTATTCAGGCCCCAACTCAGGCATTGTACCCGCACCCGCCGACCCGCCATGATGGCCGAATTGTCGAGGTCAACAACACGGCGTATGAAAGCAGTGACGATGCCCCAAAAATTAAGATTAGGGGATCACTTTATAACACACACACAGAGCACACCTTTTCGCTCACAACACACAAACACATACCACACCATTGTCATGTATATACATGTAACAATATATTGTACATCTCGGATGTTAACAGAAGAAAAAAAGTCTTTCTCTCTCTCTCTATGTGCTCTTCCTTTTTTTTTTTTTTCCCGTTTTGGAGGTGTGTTCCGCTGCGTGTCTGTGGCTGGCGGGGGGGCTGGCAGGGGGGCCTTGGGGGTTGGCAGGGGAGAAGAGTGGTCTGTTGGCATAGCTGATCAGCTTGTGCAAGCTGGCTCGGCTTCACTCGTTTGCGACTTGTTCGTTTGCTTGTGCTTGTAGTGTCTTGAATGTGGTCTTGGATCGCACGGCGAGTGGTTTTGACTGCCGGTACTCGACTTCCCGTATTGTTGGCGCCCGCTACCCGTCGCCGTCACAGCATGACTGATCACATCCTTGCCAAAGCCCGGTCAGTGGTCGGCGCTGCTTTTGGCCGCAAGCTCGCCCCGTTCCGCGCACAGGCTCACCGCGCTTGAATGCATCTGGCTAGGGAGCTTGGGGTCAATCTGGCCGACCAGCGCCTCGCGCAAGCCCTTGATGAGGCTGACCCCCTGGCCCACCTTCGTCAAGAGTTTTCCATTCCCCAGATGAAAGACATCAAGCAAGGTAAGCCCCATGTTTCGGCGTTTCTTGTTGATGGCTTTAACAGGTTCTTCTTGAAAGCCAACGCCTCACGGCCCCACCTGTCGTAGCGGATTTGAAGCTGGTCGAAGCCGAGTCTGACTGCATCTACCTCTGTGGCAACTCCCTGGGTGGGTAAATGCCGTCTTGTTTTTGCTTGTGCCTCTGCCTCTGTCTCTGTTTTCTGTTATCCTGATCTCACCCTTTCCATCACCGTCTCTCCCACTCTGCGCTTGCCCTCCCCTTGCCAACCCTAACTGACCCATAAAATGTGGCGTAGGCCTCATGCCCAAGCGTACGCGCACCATTGTCAACGAGGAACTTGACACCTGGGCTACTGGGTATGACCTCTTTACCTGGTTTGAGGCACTGGACCTACTTGTCGCCCTTGGCGTTCCTCACCCCTGAAACGCTGGATGTCAGTGGCGTGACTGGGCACTTTCCGGATGGCCCGGGCAAGCGCCCCTGGGTGTCCATCGACGAGACCGTGACCGACAAGTGTGCCCGTGTTGTTGGTACGGCAAATGAAAGATCACGTTGCGCACATCTGCTTCGCCCACCCGCAAGGACGAGCGAATGTATTCACCCTGTTGACCTGCGTGCTTGTTTCTTTTTTTTTTTTTTTTTTTTTTTTTTTTTTTTTTTTTTTTTTTTTTTGACGTGGACAGGTGCCCTGCCAGAGGAAGTCGCCATCATGAATACGCTGACTGTCAACCTGCATCTACTCATGGTCAGGTCCAACCACCCCCTGGTCCCTGTTGATTCTCTGACTGCGCTGCATCCCACCCAGCCATACCCAGTTTAGCTCACACCATGGCGAGACAGGTGCCCTTCTACCGTCCCACGAGCGATCGCTTCAAAATTCTTGTCGAAGCCAAGGCCTTCCCCTCCGATCACTTTGCCGTCCTGTCTCAGTTGCGCATGCATGGGTGTGTGCAGCTGTTCTCCATATCTTGCTCCCTGTTCTCTTGCCTTTGTTCATCCTTTCCTGCACGCGTCAGGCATGATGAGTCGGCGCTGATCGAGGTCAAGCCTCGCGAAGGCGAGCACAACATCCGGGAAGAAGACTTGTTGGCCATTCTTGAGGAGCAGGGTGACTCCATTGCCACAGTCCTTGTTGGTGGTACGCCTTCTTTTTGAGATAAAACCAAAGTCACAAACGCACCAAGGCAGCCTGCCTTGCTTCGGTCGCTTCCGTTTCCGTGGCTCCCAGCATGACCACACACCTGGCCACGCGCCATGCTCATCATCATCATCATCATCATCATCGCTCCTTCCCCCCCCCACCCCACACACACACACACACCACACATACATACACACAAGGCCCATGCCATGCTCATGCACGCCCCTCCGCTCCACAGGTGTGCACTACTATACGGGGCAGTTTTTTGATTTGCAGCGCCTGTGTGCGGCCGCGCACAACAAAGGGTGCACTTTCGGTGTGGACCTGGCCCACGCCGTTGGCAATGTGCCTCTGCAACTTCACGACTGGGACATTGACTTTGCTTGTTGGTGCACATACAAGGTTCAACCACAACATGCTTGGCAATCCTCGGTCGGGTTTCTGGATGCATCTGCTCGACTCATCACGGCTGAATATGTGTGATGGTGGTAGTATCTCAACTCGGGGCCAGGTGGCATCGCGGGCGCCTTTATTCACAAGAAGCATGAGGGCACAAGCCGCCCCTATCTGCAAGGCTGGTGGGGAGTGCAGCTCAACGAGCGCTTCCGCATGGACCACGATGCCAGCTTCATGCCCGGTAAGATAGAGCGTGGGCAGTCTAGATATGTGGGTGTCGCGGTTTTGACTAGGCAAAAGACAGCGCCGCTGTTCGTTTGTTGGTTTTTGTTGTTTTTTTTTTTTTCCTTTGTGTTTTGTTTTCCTTTGTCGCTTGATTATTTTGACGTGCTTTTGAACATCCGAATACGCTTGGTGCTTGCAGGTGTTCGTGGCCTGCAGCTGAGCAACCCTGGCGTCCTGCAAACCGTGGCTTTGCTCGGCAGCCTCGAGGTACAGTGGACAATCGCGGGTGGTACACACCATGGTCGTCAACGCAGGCGCTGGTCTGATACAGGGTGGCCGTGAATGTGAATGTAGATTTATGAGCAAACAGACATGGCGTCACTTCGTGCCAAGAGCTTAAAGTTGACGGCATACTTGGAACAGCTGATGCAAGCATTGGTAAACGAGGAAGGCCATGCTCCCCGGTAGGTGCATATGTTTTGGCGTTGTGGGCAAGTTGTCTGCGCCTGCTGACATATGCTCACTGACTAAAACGTACACAGGTTTGAAATCATCACGCCCACCGATCCAGAACGCCGTGGCTGCCAGCTCTCAAGTATGTCACTTGTGCTGCCCTGATCACCTCATGGCTCAGGCGTTGGCCTCACGTGCATCCACCATGGCTCGCAGTTTTGTTCAAGGTAGACATTGACGCTGCTTTTGAGGTCCGTACCAGCGTGTCCGGTCGTCTTGGTCGTCTTGGTCGTCTGGCCTGTGTCCCTTTACTCACCCCGCGCCAAACGCATCAAAACGTGTGTAGGCATTGGAGAAACGCGGCGTGGTATGCGACGTGCGGCGGCCTGACGTGATGCGCATCGCGCCCGTCCCGTTGTACAACACATTTACCGACGTGTACCGCTTTGTCACGACGCTACGCGACGCCCTCAATGCATCGGCCTCGTCATAAAAGCAGCGCGCGGAACCGACAAGCCGATCGCCATGGACCGTCCGCCTCAAACTTTTCGCCGTCATCACCCCCTTTGAGCGTTACATGTGCTTAATTGATGATTGACGACGGCAGCTTGAAAAATACTTTTGCCTGCCACCATGTAGCGTACAACAAAGACAAAAGCCGTGAACTCTAGCTCAGAAGTTTAATACTTTTTACTCGAGAGCAACCAAAAAAGGACAAGCTGCGTGTGCTGTCTTTCTCATTCACGTGTGCACTGCAAGTGAACCTGCCTCTCAATCTCTGTTAGCTTTCATCACAACCTCTCAAGCCCTCTCTATCCCCGTTGAATATCCGCTCAACGCCCGCACCAACGCTCCCAACCTCTCAATCCCTCTCAATGCTCGCCTCACTCTCTCAAACCCTTGTTGCATTTTCGTATTCGTCGTCGTCGCCGTCTTGCCCGAGCAGCGCTGCCCTTTGAGACGCCAACTCGATCCAAGAACGCAACCTGTGAACACCTCACGTCACTAGGACTTGAATCAAACTGTCTGATCCTCGATTGCCTGGGGTTTTTTTTATCCGACTCTGATCCTCGAACGCGGGAAGATCAAGAAGCATGTCGCTGCCCCCCTCCCTGCAGCAAGCGTCCAACTTGGCGAAAGCTGCTGTTGAAAACGACCAACTTGGTCAGTCTGGCCCCCCTTTGCCGCCTCTATTGCCTCTGCCACCAACAACCGAGACCTTGGCCTCGTGCTTTTGAATGTGGTTTTGTTTTTCATTTCTTATCCTTGTTTGCTGGTTGCGGCTCTTGACTCGTCCGGGCTTGACAGGCAATTTCAAGGAGGCCCTGGATCTCTACGAACGCGCCGCACATTTTCTTGAACTGGCTCTTGCTGACCCTGCTCTCGGCGCGCAGCGCGAGCAAATTCGTACCAGCCTGAACAGCTACCGCGTCCGCGCCGAATCTTTGCGCAGCGAAATGAACGGCACAGCCCCGGTCTTGCCAAATGTGCCTGCGGACACGGCTCCAGCTTATACACCCGCCACAACGGCTTCCTCGCCCGCAACACAGGGCGTGGCTGTTAGATCAGCCAATCCTTCCGTCCTGCAAGTGGGCTGGGGCGCCGTACAGGTACGAAGCACTGCAACCGGAGCCCCATGTACTCAACTATTGCAACGGCTCTGGTGATCCCTCACTGACCCATCGACACTCGACACATAGACTGTGAATCGCGAGGGTGGCAAATACCTATTGCAGGGCTACCAAGCAGCGCGTGCCTTTGATCAACGCAACAACGTCTCAGGCAAGGTGATTGCGGGTGCTGCCACCGTCGCCGCGGGCGCTGTCAAGCTCAACAACGAATACCGCGTTACCGAACGCATTGGCGAGGCTGCCTCCTCCGCATATACCCGCGCTAAAGCCGCCAATGAAGAGCACAAGATTCTAGAGGTACGGTTGCACCAGGGAGTTATGCCCCATCCCCCCCTTCCCCAACCTCCATCGTCGGGCATTGTCCGGCCTTGACGATCTTTTCCTTATTCGGCTCTTTCCATTTGGGTCTTGTCGATTAGAAAACGGGCACCATCGCCAAGGCCGCCGTCACCAAGGTCGGAGAGGTAGACCGCGAATATCAAATTTCGCAAAAGGTCGGCTCTGCACTCCTCTCTGGCCTCAACTACCTCTCCTCGGCCTCGAGCAGCTACTTGGCCAAGCAGCCAGCCACACCCGCTGCCAGCGCCGGTGCCGGCCCCAGCCAATGAAGCCTTGTATGATATTGTGATCATTGTTTGCACCTGTCAAGCATGTGCTTTCCTCTGGCCTCTTGCTTGCTAAACAGACCGCAACGCCAGCCATAATCGACCTTTTCCAAGGGCAGAAAACGAGCTCTTTGCACCAACTAACAAAATGACCACACGCGTGCTTGTCATGATCAGTGCAGCTTTTCGAAGCCACCCCTCTCAAGTTCGCGTCACAACTCAGACGCTCCAACCCTTTCCCCTTAAAATCATCCTGTTTCTCCTCTTGCTGTGTGCAATCGAGTGCCAAGCTGTTCTCCTCTTCCCTTCTCCGCCATCTTTCCAATCTTGCTTCGATAAACGCGACTAGCACAACGCGTGTAGACATGCCTTTATCTACTTAATGCATTTTTCATAACTCCCATTGTGTTAGTTAATGTCGTTAATTTTCCATTTAGTGACGATGTTTACGCAATGCGTTCATCAAAATCCCGTGTTTTGTGAGCATCAAGAAGACGATCGATCAGTGCTGTCAGTGGTGATCATGTGCGCGACCGGGCCGATTAGAGCTGCACCCAAGCCCGGAGCATCGGCTCTCGTAGCCTGGTTACTGATGGGCGTCGCGATTGCTCAGGTGCAACAGGTGCAGCACACCAAAGTGGATGCCGACATGTTGGAGTGTCGGTTCGTGGAGGGCATCGACTTTGAGAGCGAGGGTGCCGCGCTTGGCCCAACGCCCAACGCATCTGCCTGCTGCCGGGCTTGTGCTCAAGCCGCAGCTTGTGCCGTAGCCGTATACAACCATGTGGATGGCGTGTGCTATGCCAAAACCACGGGCAGCCATGCCATCAGCCGCGCCAACTGCACAGCCTGCACGCCGGCGCCACAGCCTTCCCCGGCCGCCCAGCACCGCGACATTATTGGTGCTACGCACTGGAACGGCTGCTACTACCTTTCTGATCGCCCCTTCCTCCTATACGGT